GAACGCGGGGCCTCGGCGCAGAGCTGCGGGGAGGCGCCCGACAGCCCGCGAGGTGCGCGGCTCTCTTTACTCGGCGTTTCCACGCTGCCCTGCGCGTGGGGCGCGACGCCTTCCGGGTTGATGGGGACATACGTGCAGGGGCGGCCCTGAAGACAACCTCTCTGCTGTGGGGAGGGATTCCTGTCACCACTCCGTTCCCCCAACCACCGTAAATCCGCACCCAGTCGGACCAGGTTCAGACCTAGGACCCTTGAGCGACAAACTGCCCTGCAGCCCGCGAGCCCAGGTACGGAGCTCCGAAGAGGAGTCCCCCGGACCTCCCTCTGCAAGTGTTACTGCTCTGAGGGTCGTTGCAGGACAGAAATTGCATCCTCAGAATCAAACCCCGTTCATAGACTCACAGTCAGACACACTTGTAGCACCCGCCGAGATGCACCGCAAACGGACAGACACCTGTCTCCTCCACATGGACAAAGCTGAAAGGGGAAGGTCTTCTTGGCCCCAGGAGACTCATCCGACTTGTACTGGGAGAAAGTGGTCCTTGGGGGACAACAGGGAAGCAGCTGCTGCCCAGGTGTGTGATCACATTTGGGCACCCTGGAGGGAGCAGGTGGAGGCCAGGTGTGAGATGTCCCCAGTTGCCTGATGATAATCCTGAGGCCCACACGTATGAGTCTGCGTGGAGCCCATGTTCACAGACTTTTTCTAGAGAAACAGTCCTAGAGAAGGAAAGAGCCGGCCAGCAGGTGAGAATTCTGGGGTGCACTGCAGAGCTGCAGGTCAGGCCTACCTTTTCCACAGGAGCAGTGCTGGGGAGAGCCTTACACCCAGTGGCCATCACCATGGGGTGGGTGGGATGAGGAAGGCCTCTGCAGATGCTCAAAGACAAGAGGATTCAATAAGGGTGATAGCTCTGGAGACAGCACAAGATGACAGAAGGGAAAAAGGGGTTCTAATCCTGATTTGCTGTGTGACCTCAAGCCATAATAATATTAATAACAACAGCCAACTCAGGTTGAGCGCTCAGTGTACCAGGCATCCTAAACCCTCCCCCAGGTAACCCCATTCAATCCTCAGAACAGTACTCTGAGATAGACACTAGTATTGCCCCATTTTCAGGTGAGGAAATCAAGGACTAGAAAGGTAAAACTTGGCCACCATCACAAGGAGAGTAGGGTGGAACCAGGACCCAAATCCATGACTTTCTGACCCCCAAGCCTCATGCCTTAAGCACCTGCCACCTGGCCTCAATTTGGCAAATAGCTTAGCCTCTCCAAGCCTCGGCGTCCTCCCCTGAATAGGCAGTACCAGGCTCATGGTACAGATTCAGTAACTATTGTGCAATGAATGAATGAATGCCCTACCCCTCAGGGTAACTGTGAGGACTGCAGCCTGTGGAGTTCCTGCATGCAGCAGGCATTTCCATGCCTTCAACAGCTCGTCTAAGGAACCTCTGTGGAGCCCCAGGCCCAAAGAAGCAAAAGTTCCCTACTCCACCCATATAGACACCTAAGTATTTCCGGCTGAGACCTCCTCCCTCATTGGTCCTTTCTTGCTTTCCTTTCAGAGCCACCAACATGCCTTGACCTGGACAGCTACCAGATTGATTGAGTACACGTGGGAGACACCAGACTTTGGTAACTCGAGGACTGAAATAACCAGATTCTCACCCACTTTTCCATCCAGAGAGGCCAAACCATATCCAGGCCTTTTTTTTTTCCTTTAATTATTTTTGCGTAAGTGAGGACTGGTTTACAAAAGCCTCACCATATGCCAAAGTCCATGTCCCCTCTCCCCACACTGCCAGGTACAAGGATGCTGAGCTCATTTGTGTTTCCCCTAGAATCCATCTAGCACCCGGACGTACACACACCTCTGATTTACAAGCAAGAGGGCTACGGAGAAACGGGGCCACAGGGGTAGCATGGATAAAGTCTGAGTTACATCCCCCGCTCCCTGCCACCCTGTGCCAAACATGCATCCTCAGACACAGCATCAAAACAGTGCATTTGGGGAGGCATTTAGGTCTTAAATTTAGCCACAGAAGCCCAAGGACTCCCCAGTTGGCCTATGGATTGAGTTGTCCAAAAATGTGAATTAAAAAAAAAAAGATAACAATCTATTCCTGGGAATAGATCATAGTGATGGTGGCACAATTTTGTGAATATAGTCATCCCTCCGTATCCAAGGGGGGATTGTTTCCAGGATACCAAAATCTGTGGATGCTCAAGCTCCTTATATAAAATGAGATGGTGGTTGGATATAATCTATGCGCATCCTCTTGTATACTTTAAATCATCTCTAGATTACTTATAATACCTAATTCAATGTAAATAGTTGTAAATTTAATGTAAATGCTATGTTTGCTGGCACCAGCAAATTAAAGTTTTGCTTTTTGGAACTTTCTGGAAATTTTTTGGTTTTTTTTTTTTCAGTTCGCTGTTGGCTGCTTCACAGCTATGGATCCTCCAGATACAGAGGGCTGACCAGATACTAAGACCACCAAACTGCATGCTTTAAATGGTGAAATTTATGGTATGTAAATTATATCTCAGTAGAAAAAAGGAGCCACCATTCTTCCTTCCTGGTCAGAATACACGGCATGAACCCGGCTGGTTGTCTGAAAGCCCCGGCACTCCTGAATGCTGACTCCCTTGACTTAGCAGATCTAACTGCAGGTCGAGTGGTACAGGAGGGTCAGGCATCCTATGGCTGTAGCTGTTCTGTGAGGGCCCTGACTGTGGCCATCTCAGGGGCAAGTGGCCAAGAAGCCACGGCAGCCTGTCTCTTATGCCCTCAATGACAGGGCTGCAGGGACACAGGGCCCTGGACTGGATCCTGCAGAAGGAAGACTTAGTGGGGAGGACTTCACTGCAGCCCCAATATCAGAGAGTTCCTTGGTGGGGGGAAGGTGGACGGGCCAGTGTGCGTGTGTGTGTAGCATGTGGGGTGCTCCAGGGAGCCCGCCTGGCACTTACAAAGCCCCTGTGTCAGCGAGCACGCTCTGCAAAGCCCCATCTCTGAATAGGGAAGCTCAGCTTGTGGGGCTCGTGAAGAAATCACCACTGGGTTAAAACATAGCAAGTAAATGTAAGAAGTCAAAATGCTGTACAAAGGGGAGAATTATTTTTAAGTGGTTACTCATTGCTATGCTGACTCTGCATTTTAACTAAGCTTTAAGGTTCTTTTATTTCCCGGCTCCTAAAGTTGCTCTTTGGCTTATGCGTCAAATCCACCTTGTTCCTCATTGAAGAGAGAGAGGTCAGCTTATTTTTAGGCGCTATCTGTCTATGGAGTAATTGATTGATCGATAGAACAATGGATATTTAATACATACCCGTACATACATGATTTAGCTGCCACTTATCAAGCCCTTATATATACATTATGTACTGTTACATGTTTTACCCACGCGATCTCATCTGATCCCCCAGCCGCTATACGCAGCAGATGTGTGTGGCGTTTGGACCTTGACTGCATCTCAAAGGCAGTTCACCTCCGGACACAGGGGCTTGATTTGACAAAGTTGGCAGGCACACAGGGAACCCCCTCCGATTTTGGTGGGATGAGTGGAAACTCTCTGACCTTGAGTCCAGGAAAGTGAGGCTTGCCTGGTATGTTTGCTACCTGCACCTTTCATAAATACACAGAACTGCTACCTCCCATTTCTCCAGCTCACAGAGGGAAAGAGGGCCAGTTTCCTTTAATGTTTAAAAGGACAATGGCCCCAAGCTCCTGTCCTAAGGATTGTGAGAAGGACAAGGCTCCACCCTCCCGCGAAGAACCCCAGGAGCCGCAGCCCATCCCAAGGCTGCCGGTCCTGGTGTTGCCCCGGCCACCCCTTCAGAGGACGTCTGGCCCGTCAGGTCACCTGTCTGGAGGTCTCCCCAGGACTTACAGGAGGGGTCTTCCTTGGCCAGACTCAGGCCCAAGTGCTTTACAGATACTAACTTCTTTAACACTCATAATAACCCTTGCTCTTAAGGTTAGATAACTCACCCCAGGTCATGCTGCTAGTTAGCAGCAGAGGTGGGATGTGAGCCCAGATACTCTGGCTCGAGGCTGCCATCAATCCCCATATAAGCTACCAAGGCACCCTGTACCAGGGCACTAAGACCATCCCCTTCTGTAGGACTTCCTAATCCTGGGGTTGGCTTCAGATGACTCACCTTTTGAGGTGTGGTCCCTCCTGTCAACTGATCTCACTGGGTCATCCCAGTTCATCCCAGACAGACCAAAGCTCTGGGACTCCTCTCCCCCTGTCCCTGAGGCACTGTGAATTTCCAATCGCTTTCCCAGCAATCTTTGCACTCTACCGGGGGCAGGGAGCACAGCTCTACCCGGCTACAGCCGTTCCTCAGCTAAAGGTTTCCAGTCTTATCCTGTCCCAGAACCCAGCATCACAGGGACCCTTGAGGACAAAGAAAGACTGCTCTAGACAGCCCCAGGACTCCACTGCCAGAAACAGGCAGTACCCAACTT